GTCATACGATGTTATCTTAAGGTACACAGAGTGTTAGACACTCTAGCGATGTTAGCACTAAGGATCCGTAGATTAAGTAGCAGTAAGAAGTTTGTATGGTGGTCTCATTAGTTAATTCGTGTGTAACTAGGCGTCTAATCAAAGTGGCTTGCTACAACTAAAGTACATTCCAACTAATATTTGGTAGGCGCATAGGATTAAACGTATTTGACTATTTGTATGTCCGCATCAGCATCATGTAAGCAGTTTTGAATACCTACAAGTTCTGAATATAAAAAACTAAAAGTTTTCAATTTGGGCACCTACTGTGATAACGGATTCAACAGTCATCGGGCCAAAAGGTCCAATAGAAATCACTGAAACATGCTGATATTGCATAAGCATCATAAGGAACATTTTCCTATTTTTGAGGTCCAAATAATGCCAATTTATATTATAAAGATCGGCAGCTGTAGCTCGACTCTACAACGATTTTTCAACGGATTTCGTAGCCAATTTAAACTGAGTCTTCTCACCTGCACTATGATGTCATTTGCAAACAATCCTAAAATTAACACTTGCGCAATCTGCATTAGTAAGAAACACGTGCAAAACACCACATTGCCACTTCTAACCTGAAGTGAAATTATTTTACATTAGAAGCCGGAATTGTAGTTAAAAGTGGAAATTAAATTGAATGAGAAAAGACAAAATACACATTTTGCTTACAAATCTACCTCCAGATTTTCAATGGATCGATGTTATGTTTCACAAAATTGAATGACAGTATAAAAAGTCTGTCTCACGCAGTTTTATCTAAGTAAACATTCGGCACAAATATAATGTTCAGTTCAGTGTTCAGTATTATTGCCTGAAAACCGATTAAATTATAATGCATTTGAAATCGAAACTTTTTTTTGAGACAGAAAAAAATTGTTTAAGAAAATATTTGTAAATTCAATAGTTAGGTAATAAACAAAGATTAGCACTTTACTAATTGTTGTCATATGCGATATTTTTGGTTTCAATGCATATTCAATTTAATCCAATAAAGTTTGTCTTCAAGACATTCAAATTTAATTCACTGCAGTTTTTTTGAAAGTTTGCTTCGATTATTTAGTAATTTTTTCTTATTGGGTTGAAACTATTTAACCACATGGATTAATTTAACATAACCCAACGATGGAGAATGGACCAAACTAAATAACGAAGAATATGTATGAGACAATATGAAACAAGAAGATATGTCATATGATGATATGTAACAAAGAATATGTAAGAATATATATGAAGTAAGAATATATATGAATACTTTCGATTCGTGTGAAAATTAAACAAAGAATGACGTTTGCTTGATACTTGCTAATTTTAAATCAACTAAATCAAAAGCACATTTGGGAACATTGAAATTATTACTTAAACGAAACATGTATTTTCAAACTTACATGCGAAAAGTATGTCGCAACTGAAGTAATATTGATGACATTTAGGACAACATCAACCAAAACGACAAATCTAATAGATTTATCTACACGCTTAATAAATCTAAAAACAGGAAATGGATTAAAATTTGACAATCTCTAGGCGGCGTGTAGTTTCGCTAAAATTTATGCAATGATCTTTATTGACTCTTACCCGAAAACACGTCGGTTGGTTATAATAAGAGCCTTCATATCAACGGATGGATTTGCTACCATGTCATACGATTCCCAGTTGCACTTGCAAATTTTCGCCTGTTGCATTTTCAATATCGCAACAGAATAAATCATTAATGCAAGAAAGGTCATGCAGGAAACTACGAACAAAGAAGCACATACGAATGTAAGTATACATTTTAGAGCAACCACTGAAGCTCTATGATCTAATTCACGATATGGTAGCCAGATCGGGAACATGCTCCATTCTTATTTTTGGTTTGAAACAGAATCAATGGTAGGATTGTCCGCCAAACTAGCTACACCTGCTGACATCAGCGCCGCCCCCGTAAAAATACTACTTAACAAGATGCCCCAATTCCATTTTCTGATGTATCTGATTTCTTGCTGATATGCTGATATCAATTCATGGTCGTCGGAACCCCACAGGTTTTCTTCTTCATCCAGAATAGCTTTGAATATGTCAGAAACTTTATAGATTTGATATATGAGGACCTTGCCAGATATAGAAGTGGTCGACAGCAGAAACACTTGGCTGGAAATGATGTCCGCACTGTCAGCACTTGATTGAACAAATTCTATGAACTTGGCGACTACCAAGACAACAAATAGTAGGCCAAAGCCCTGAAAAATGAGACTGTATAACCAGTAAAGCAATTGAACAGTGGATTTTATGCCCTCCAGTCTCCAGGTTCCAGTGAACATCATCATTGGCTTCAACATGTCAATCAGACTCTCGTGTTTATTGTACATTTCGAAGCAGA